ATCCCATCCCATCCCATCCCATCCCATCCCATCCCAAATATATATCTATAGGACTGAATAATTACTGAGGTATTATTTTTACTATACAAAATATACAGTTTGGTATATTTTGGTTGATACATATAACCACACTTTTTAAAACAAGCAATGCTATGCATATTGCATACCAAAGATTAAACAATAGTTTAATTGGAAAGAAACATCAGTTTGCGTCAACACAGCTCACTGCATCTCTCCATGACGAGGTGGCCTTGCAAACCCTCCTTGCTTCCACCCTGCCCAGACACCACTTCATGTGTCGCATTGCCAGAAAACACATGTGAGGGGCTGCATTGCTTCCTGCTAAAAGAGTGGTTTCTGATTGGCCACATAAAGCATGGCAACTATTCTTCAAGACTAGATGATAACCTGCATTCAGAATTCCCAGTGTGCCACTTTGGGGCTTGTAGGACTTGGGGTCCCTGTCCAGAGCCATGCAGTGTGTTTGACAGGTTGCAGTAGCTATGTGGAAAGCAGACGCTTCATATGCTAATTGGCTCTCTTAGCCCACAGCAAGCCCAGCAAAGGAAGATTTGACAAAACGGTGTCCTGAGCAGCAAAGGGTTTGATTCCTGATTTTTCCAGTTCAAAGCTTTGAAGCAGTAGAGGGGTATGGAGAGCGCTGGCTGACTGGATTAGGGCATACTGACTGGGTTCCGATTTTGCATTTAGTCTGAATGTGGTTTATTAAGATTTGTTTGTTTGGGTCAATAATATTACACAGATACCATCTAATGAGGAAAAAAATGATCTTCCTTTCCTGCTTCATCTTCCTTTTGATATTGTCCTCCTTGGACTCTTGATCAACCTGTCACCTATTTCTTGTATACAACTGCAAGTTTTAATTCAGGGAAAAATAAAACTATGAACTTTTTCTTCTCCAGGTGCTAAAAGAATTGGCATGCAACCATCAGAATCTGGCTATATTGCAATTAGGTAAGTTGCAAGGGTCATGTATAAAGAGGACACGTTTTGTTCTACACAAATGCTCAGAGTGTCCAGCAACAAGTCATTCTTGGAACTAACCCAACCTTCAGAGTCATTGGTTGGTTCAGTGTGTTGAGTGATTCCATTATGGAGTTTGCCAGTTAGCAGAATATGTTATGCCTACGGGATCTAGGCTCATATATATTTCAGAAATATATCATGTATATCTCTATATATGTCAGTTTGGCTTGCGAAGAATTGTGGGATTATTCAATAGGTCTTGCTTATAAAGCCATGATTTGCATATAATGTACAAAGAAAGTCTGTATCAAGCTTGCTGCAATTTCACAGAGAGCAAAACTTTTAAAACTGATTTTAGCCACATTTACGTAGAATTCGGTTTAGAGCTGAGTGACTGGGTCAAATCGCTGTGATCTTAAAGTTGTTTTTAGGCAGTGCCTTCCTGTGCTGCTGTTGAAACTCTCATCCCTTATTGGAGTCCAGTCTCTCCGCTGTCTAGTTGCCCTTCCAGAAGGTGGTTAATTGCATGAATAGACACACAGATCTTCTCTGGTTCCAGGAATTCTTCTCTAGCAATTTTGAAACAGCACATGGCTGATATTTCAATAATGTTATTTTCCTCAGATGTCACTAAACTTGAGACCATCCAGGCAGCTGTGAAAGAAGTAGAGAAGCATGTTGGAGAAGGTGGGCTGTCCATCCTTATCAACAATGCTGGTATTGTATTGGGCAACGATCTAGAAAATGAAAATGCCAAGGATATGATGAAGGTGTATTCCGTCAATACTATTGGGCCCCTGCAAATGAGTCAGGTTTGTTTATATTAATTTAACTTTGTGGAAATAACTTTGAAAACAAAACAGCTTATTTTACTAATTATATTAAAATGCTGAACAATTCTGAACAATTCTGTTCAACGTAATTAAACAGAGAAGGATAAAATGCTGAATCTAAGAAATTGTAAGCTGATTTGTTATCAGGTTGAAAGATTGGGAGTGTTGGGGTTTTTCTCTCTCATATTTTGGAAGGTGTTGGGTCAGAACCTCCCTGAAATTGCTGTCACCTGTTTGTAAGGCACCATGTGGCTGAAATCAGACATATTCCATCAAGTTAGACAAGGTCCAAAAAGATGATAGACGCAACATCTTGTAAAACCGTATACCCCATTTTGTACGTTAACACATGATGCATTTATGTCTTTATTGTGGTGGACCTGTTCAGAGTCACTGGATGAGGCAGCACAGAGATATACATAAATACAGCTGTTGGGTGAGGTTATCCATTACCGTAGGATGGAATATCATCTGTATGCTGATGATACCCAGGTTTATGTCTCTGCCTCTGGCAAATTAAATGATCCTGTCATGTCAGAGCAGGTGGCTGCCATGGCCAGGAGGGCCTTGCACAACATTGTGTTGTGCACCAGTTGCACCCGTTCTAGGACTGGAGGGCTCTGCTCACAATCACTCATGCTCCAGTCACCTTTTGAATGAATTACTGTAATGCTCTTAACTTGAGGCTGCCCTGAGGGGTATCAAGAAGTTGCAGCTGGTAGAAAATGCCATTTTAAAGTCATCTGGGTATCAGACATTGCATTAACTGAAGTCTTCAAAGCATCTTAAAAGCAATCTGCCTTGCAACAGTTTTGTAGGGAGTGGTCAAGGGCCTGGATGACAGTGTGACAATCTTCAAGGAAATCAGCTGAAGTGAATGGAAGACCCCTCTGATGACTGAGGTTGGCTTTGGTCCCTGCCATTGCACAGATCCTTTTCCTAGGGACAACTGCAGCAATTTCTCTCTTTTCCTTCCTCTCAAAGGCCTTTCTGCCCCTGCTCAAGAAGGCCGCCCACAGAAGTCCCATAAAAGGCATGAGCTCCAGCAAGGCAGCCATTATCAATATGTCCAGCATCTTAGGCTCAATTGAACTTATGGACCGTTGGGAAACATTGAAAATAGTTGCCTACCGCTGCAGTAAGGTAATGGGAATAATGTGGGGTGAAGGTGAAATAATGTGGCAGACATTTTCACCTGGATGGGACTCCTGTCAGAGAGTGTAAAGGTGAAGTGGCAAACTAGCGTGATCCCAAATATAGACGTCCTAAATAGTTTGGGGCAGGCTGAAGGCTTTGACAGAGGTTGAAAATGCTTTTCTGCCCTTCCAGTCCTCCACCTCCTATAGAGGTATGCAAAAGCCAAATATAAGAGAATTAGTGACTGGCCCCAGAAAATATAATCAATGAGATACAGTACATGTTTTGTTGTTAGCCAGAGATGTGAGCATGTTGCTATCATCCTACCCATTTTCTGGGAAATAACCAAAGTGGATTTTGGAATGGCTGTTGCAACCTTGATATTTCATTTCTGCTTCCTTGCAGTTCCTATTACCTCAAGACATAAAGACATTTCTTAGAGGAAATTGGGATTGGGGGCGCTTCCCACTTCTCTGGCCCTATTGTACCTAATATTTGATCACTTTATCATCATTCTTTCTTCTATTGTGTCTTTAATGCATTCCCTGCTCATCATGGTTGTTTGTCGCCAACAGGCTGCTTTAAACATGATCACCAAATGCCAGTCACTTGAGTATTCAGCCCACGGGATTCTGTGTATAGCCATCCATCCTGGCAGGGTGAAAACATCTACAAGGGAGGTAAGTATTTTAACCCAAGAAAAAGAAAAACTCATTCATATGTGCACACACATAAATATGCATGACCTGACTAATCTCTTCCCAACTTTCTTTCATGGAATCTCTGCCAGTCAGGGATACTTAAGAGTTTCCTACATTCAAAACATTATTTCTAATGAAAAGTTTGTCTTTGTGTCTTGATTGGCCAAGATTCGATCCCTCTCATTGCCATCAAGATTTTACAGCAAGGGACACAGATTATGCTAAACTATGTTTGCTTTATTATGGTTTATTCTGTAAACCACAATTGCGTAGAAAATCACAATAAGCTAATTCTGAAAACATAATTAGCAAATTACAAGGAAGAGTGGGTAAATTACATCCTAAGGCAAAATTACACAGTGGAGCTTTAGGTATAATAGAAATAGCAAAATATGGACACCCAAAAGGACAAAAATGGAAGGTGATGGGATTGTTGGAGACCTTGGGGACAGATGTTGCCCCATCCATTGGCTGATTCAGTGGCTGTGCTGACCTGAGATTACCAGAATTTACTCAATTCACCCAAATGTATGGATTTACATGGTCACCTAATCATAGGGGCTACATTCATACAATTAGATTCACCATTATGGGGCTATCCAATTTACAATGAGTTTAGGTGTCATGGAATTTCATCTCTGACGTGGACCTGAAGCCTTAGGGTGAAGAGATTGGATATCATTTAGCCAATAACCTTCGGTAAGGATCTCAGGCTTAGGAGATCTTTCTTTGTGGCAGGCGGATTTATCTGTGGAAGAGAGCACCCAAGGTATCATGACCGTGCTGTCCATGCTTTGCGATGAGGACAATGGGACCTTCGTGGACTGGTTGGGTCGGAGTATTCCTTGGTGAACAATCTTCTTCCTAATGCCATGGCTACAATATATTACCAAGTCATGAGTTCTCAATAAACCACTGAGCATCATGATCATCTTGTCATTTTTGATCTTCATTGTATATCTTCCTTCTCTATGTGATATTTGTCTTCACTGCAGAAATTGTGGCAGATAACATTCCGGCAGTTTTTTGCCTCTTTATCAGGATTGCATGAGTAAGAATGATCACTGGGCTGTGTTTCTCCTTCTCTTTAGGTGTGCTCAGGAAACACCTAAAGCTTTGAAATCCTTAAGGGGCACATTCTGGGGGATGCTAGAGTCTACCCTCTAGGCTGTCTCTGTTCCCCTCTCAACTCTCTGGGAGAAAATAAGTTCAAAGACAAACTAACTCCTAAGTGGCATTCTCCTGGGGAGGAAGTGAATTCTATGAAAGGAGTTAATTTGCCATAATTTCAGGTATAAACTGGCCCTAATATGAAACACACTGCTAATGGGATCAGGGGCTTTACTTTGACAAGCCCGTTTTTTTCAAAGTATTTGCAGAATCCTTTACACTGAGTGCCAGACCTGTGGCACGTGGTACAGTTTTGCATCCAAGCACGACTAAGGATGTCATTAACAGGAAAGAATGGCATACAGTTTGGGGCACTCAGCAGAGAAGCCAAATGGATGCCAGGAGATGGAAACCCTCACTCCATACCTATTTAAACAATGTATTGGATGGGATTCTCCATCTTCCTTTTTTGGGGTCCAAATACTTTGAAGGCTAGTTATTTTCTGGGCATGCTAAAAAAAACCAATTAATACATTCTCTAACAGTGCATTGGACACCGAGAAGAGAGTGATGGTATTAAAGCAACAAAAAATAAATAAAGGTCACAATAAATAAAGGTGTTGCATGTTGATCTATCCTTTCTGCAGCAGTAGATTCAGGAGCAGGAGGCAAATCTCATACTCCTTCCTTTTCATTTTATATCCTCACAACAGCCCTGTAAAGCATTTTGAAGGTGTGGATAGAAGTCAATAGCACAATATTGTTGTAGGCTGGTACATCTCCCCGTCGCCCATTGTCTTGACTGCTCCTTCAGTTAAAGCAACTAATGTTGCCTTCTGCAATATTTAAATGAAGTTTATAACAAGATCTAAAGGTGGGTGTGACATGTAAATCAGAATAGTACCTTCTATGATGAGAAGACGCACTTGAAGCAAGTCTTCAAGCAGGTTGAAAACAGAAGCTACAGTATAGGAATATGGCGAAGGCAGCCGACTTCTCCATTTCCAACATTTTGGTGAGGGGACGCGATCGGGGGATAGGTCTCGGTCGGGCGAAGAGGTTTCTGATGCTGCCCTGTCCATCCAAATGGGCCTTTGTTACAACCCTTGACCTGGACGGAGAAGAAGCCAAGGTAAGAATTACCTAATCTAGGATGAAGAAGTAGGATAAGAAGCAGGATAGAAGGACTATTGACACCTTTGAACTTTGGTGTTGGAGAATACTCCAGAGGATACCATGGGCAGCCGAGAAAACAAATCGATGGATCATTGAAAAAAATCAATCTGACTTCTCACTAGAGGCACAAATAACTAGGCTCAAATTTATCCTACTTGGGACACATTATGCGAAGACCTAACTCTCCAGAGAAGCTCATAACGCTGGGAAAGGTGGAAGGAAAGAGAAGAAGAGGCAACCAATGGACTTAGTTACAGTGGCAGTGAGCGCACCATTGGAAAAGCTGAAGGGCCTGCAGAGCTAAAAGACTTCCTGGTCGTTTGCTTGGGCGGGTATTAGCCAAGAGCTATTATCCATGGACACCCGCTTGGGCTTCCAGATAAAAGGTGGCAGGGAAATGTGACCTAAAAGCTGAGTAGCCGCTTGGGTTGTCCATGCACCACGGTAAGCCACGGCTTATTTTAACTAAGACTTATCCATTTTATAATACTTTTACTATAAAAGTCCATTGCCGGGGTCAAAGCAAAGTTGTCAGCATCCAACATGGCAGCCGCTGCAGTACTACTATTTTTTCCTTCTCTCCCGTGTATTTTGCATGGTACCTTCCACACTTTTTTTTTTTTTAAAGCCACGCTATGCAAAACCAGTGGAAAGGCATAGACGACAGCGAGCTACGGACATGAAGGCATAACGCACCACACCGACCCACCTTTGCATTAGGCGTCCCAAGGTGCTTAGTTAGGGCCGCGCTGCCTGATTTGACTTCGTCCTAACGACGGAGGAAAAGATCGGCGGCGCCTTTAAGAGAGAGAGAGCGCGAGCACGCGCGAACCAACGGCCTTTCCTCTGACCCGCCCCGCGCGTCGGCGCACGCGCAAAGCGCTCCGCCTTCCCGGGGCGGGGGGAGGTCGCCAGTCG